AGGTTTGTGAGGCACGACCTACCCTTCTCAAAACCGTGTTGACTATCCCTAATCAAATTATTCCTTTCTAGATGATTATAAATCCTATCTCTTATAATCCTTTCCAACACTTTACCCACAACCAAAGTAAGGCTCACTGGTCTATAATTACCAGGGTTGTCTCTACTCCCCTTCTTGAACAAGGGGACAACATTGGCTCGTCTCCAGTCTTCTGGCACTATTCCTGTAGACAATGACGACATAAAGATCAAAGCCAAAGGCTCTGCAATCTCCTCTCTAGCTTCCCAGAGAATCCTAGGATAAATCCCATCCGGCCCAGGGGACTTATCTATTTTCACACCTTCCAGAATTGCTGACACCTCCTCCTTATGAACCTCAATCCCATCTAGGCTAATAGCCTGTATCTCAGTATTCTCCTCGACAACATTGTCTTTTTCCTGTGTGAATACTGACGAAAAATATTCATTTAGCGCCTCTCCTATCTCTTCGGACTCCACGCACAACTTCCCACTACTGTCCTTGACTGGCCCTCGAAGTGCTGTTACACACAACTGAATGGTTTTGTTTTTACCATTATCAAATCACCCATGTTTTCTTTTCTCATTTATTACCCACCACCAGTAAATCACAATTCCGAATGAATAATTCATGTAGCCCATGAAGGGCAATGAAAGGCATCAAAAGTGAGGGAGAGGTAGGGTAAAGGGGAGGGGTCGAAATCAAGATGGATATGGATGGGGAGCATACCAGCCTTGAAGTTCTAATGAACATCAGTAGTTATTATCTCTGGAGCACATCCTGGTTCACTCTTAAATGGATCATAATTAACAACATTGTCAGATTTTACCTGAAATATAGGACAAAGATGCTGAGAGATAAACAAGATTTTATATTACTGTCGCTGGTGGGATGGTGTAATAGCAGTGTGACACATGTTTACAATGATACTTCTCATCACAAATATGGATGCACGATCATGCAAGCAGATTTTTCTTTTATCCACATGGAATGTTGGCATTGCTGATTGGGTTAGCATTTATTACCCATCCATAGTTGTCCCTTGAGAAGGTGGTGAGCCGCCTCTTTGAACCACTGCAGTCCGTGCGCTATAGGTAGACCGAAAATGCCATTAGGGAGGAAATTCCAGCATTTTAACCCAGCGACAGTTAGAAGACACAAAAACAGAAATTGCTGGAAGAACTCGACAGGTTCGGCAGCAAATGTGGAAAAAAAGCAGAATTAACACTTCAGGTCCAGTGACCCTTCTTCAGAACTGGACCCAAAACATTAAGTTTCTCTCCACAGATGCTACCAGACCTGCTGAGTTTTCCCAGCAATTTCTGTTTTTGTTTCTGATTTCCGGTATCCGCACTTTCTTGGTTTTTTTGGGACAGTTGTAAGACTTCTGACTGAAGATCATATTTTAACCTCCTCGAATTGTTCAACAATTGGTATCTTTAATTGTATGGCTTATAATGATAGTACAATCTCAATCTACTGCTCAGACAGTGCAGTGATATACAAGTGTCCCATTTCTCACTTGAACACAAGGTCAGCAAATAGTTGGTGTTGGCGAACTGAATTTCTGCATAAATTGGATAGGATCAAATTCTGGCTCCCATTAAAAGGACAGAATTCCCTTTTGGAAAAAGACACAAAATGCTAGGAGCACTCAGCAGGTCACACAGCTTCTGTGGAAACAGTCAACCTTTGAGCAAAATTCTAAGATGTTAGAGAGGAGCAGTTTTTAGTCAAGTACATTACAGAGGGAAAAGTCAGAGCAGGGTCAGGTGCAAGAGAGGATAGGTCTATGCCTAGGTGAAGGAAAGGGAGTTGAATGTTATGATGCTTTGAGGTTTGCTTTATATGCCCCAAGATGCTCTACAATTCTGAATCTATCTGCCTTGCTTCCTGTGCCAGGTTATTGACTTGCTCCCCAAGCTGGCTTGTTTTCATTCACATTTCGAACAAGCCAGCTCGGTGAGCAAGTCAACAAGGTGATGAATTCAGAGGGTGTGTGAATGGTTACAGCAGAGCTAGGAACGGAACTAGGAAAATCTGCCAAATGGGATAAGGCTAACTATTGCCCAGGAATATTGAGAGTTTTGACAAAGATCTGTAGCTCGGGTTGTGGGTGAGGTTGTTGACTTGCTCACCGAGCTGGCTTGTTCGAAATGTGAATGAAAACAAGCCAGCTTGGGGAGCAAGTCAATAACCTGGCACAGGAAGCAAGGCAGATAGATTCAGAATTGTAGAGCATCTTGGGGCATATAAAGCAAATCTCATTCGTCACCAATGCAAATCAGAATGGGAACAGCACTGTAGACATTACCACTAAGTTTGCAGTTTAGATGGATTTGGGAAAAAGTGGTTACATATTGACAACATAAAGCAGTTTTTTCAAGGTTTCCCTGCTCCTGTTAAGGAGATTGCAGTTTTGAACCTCTGGTTAAAGGACAGGCTGGAATGGAGTTCAGAAACTGACCTCATTTAGGACTTTGTCATGTTTGTTAGTGTAAATTTCAGCACAGTTTAATTCTCATAGAAGCAAACAGGTCGTACAAGAAGAAACTCACCTGGCAACAATGGAAACGAAACTCAGTAGACCTTGCAGTACATTAGTTGATCAGGTTTGTAATACTTTGCATGTTAAAATATACACTATTTATTTAGAAAATTCACTGTTGGGAAATAAGGCCATTAACGATCAGCATAGTAGAGCAACAGGAAAGTTCAAGCTTCAGGGGATGGCAAGCATGTATTTTGACTTGGTTTTGTCCCCATTGTTTTTAGATTTAGCTGATGCTCCTTTCAGGCAATGGAAGAGAATTGTTGTCGGTCACAAAGCATATTGACAAGCTTAATACAGTCACGTGGTATTCCTCTGTCTGTCATTCAATAGGGATGTTCGTCCATTGAAGGTAGGTGGCCTTTTGTCTTGTGTCAGCTAAAGCTGGAGTGGGTTGACAGACTATTTGACCATAAGAGACATCACAGCATAACTGAATCCAGTATTCAGCCCATTCGGCAGAGACCTCTTTCCCTGGTCTGACACAATGTCACATCCCATTCCTGCCTAATCTGGGACTTCTTATTGGAGGGACTGATGAAACGACTCTGAAACATGCGAAATAGTAGGAAAGAGGGTTGGCCAGTGAAATTTTCCCATTGCTACTTCAAAGTGGCAGTCGACGGAAACAATTACAATCCAAAGATGGAGAATTGATAGCGCATAAAACAGAACAAATCACAATATAATTTCTCAATAGATACCTGAGTATACTTTTTATATTATTATCGGATACATGCATATTCAAACATGAAAACCTTAAGAATACGATAAACCTGAGATACAAATATTTCCTTCAAAGCAAAGATCATTACTGAATATTTTACAAGCAAATGTTTACAAATTTGCATCATAAAATTGAACATTCTTTGGTGTGTCTCTATATCGCTGTTGTTTATTTTTATAAAATATAGTAAATTTGCCGTAAATCATTGTTAAATTTAAGCTTTTGTTAGCACACAAGCTGGAGGTGATGAGTGTGCAGCTGCACAGATCTACCTACTCTCCAGAATCTGGGACTGCATGGTGATAAAAGATTAAATGAAAATGTTGATTTGTATCATTTTCAATGTTGACGCAGAACTGTGGCCTGAAATCATGACATGAGGCAGGTTTGTGGACAGGAATTTATGCATTTTTTGAAAAAATGAGATATATAGACAAATATTTAAAAATTCGTTTGAAAACTGTTTGTATCTCCTACATGTAAGGCATCGTTTCAATTTAAAATATTTCTGTGCACTACCAGAAACAGCTTTATATTGAAGATAGAGCAGCCCATAATTTCTGAGAGCAGCCAGCAAGGTACAGTAACATCGTGCTACTGCTGCTGTGTGTACCTTCCTCAGTTTGTGCCGTAAGTTTGGCACCTATCTGGGCACATTCGAATTAACATGTAGGTGATTCCTCTGTCTGCTTTTTTGCCTGGGGTATCTCTTTTTTTTGTTAAAAATGGCAGAGTGAAATGATGCTACTTAAACATGTAAAAACTATCAGTCATTAATGAAAGAACTGTCACAATGAGTGGACAACACCAAGATGGTTGACTCTGACCACATGCATTCTAGAATTGTGAACTGTGACTTAAAAAGTAATATTGCTGTAGTATTGGCAAACCATAGTGCATGGAGATGACTGGTGGTGGTTTAACCTGAGGGTCACCATGCTTCAGGCCAGGGGAGAGATTGAGAAGGACAGTCCTTCAAACAAGCTCAGCCAATGATGGGAATTGAACCCATGCTGTTGATCGCGAATCAGCCATCCAACAAACTGAGCTAACTGACCTCCTGTTGTGACTTAACAACACTCATATTGTTGGGGAAGCTGAAACGTCTGAAGGTGGATAAACCACCCGAACTGATGCAGTACGCTTCAGGGTTCTGAAGGAGATTGTGGAGGCATTGGTGGTGATCTTTCGGGAGTCACGGGTGTGAGGGAAAGTCGCAGGGGACTGGAAAATGGCTAATATACAGCTCTGTTCAAGAAGGGAGGGAGGCCAAAGACAGGAAGCTCTCGGCCAGTCAGCCTGACTTCAGTCATTAATATGATTTTAGAGTCATTATTAAGGACGAGATTATGGAGTACTTGGAAGTGCATGGCAAAATAGGGCTGAGTCAGAACGGTTTTGTCAAGGGGAGGTCCTGCCTATAACAAATCTGTTAGTATTTTCCAAGGGGGTAATGAACAGTTAGACAAAGAAGAGCCAGTGGATCTATCTGGATTTCCAGAAGGCCTTTGACAAGGTGCCACACAGGAGGCTGCTAAATAAGATAAGAGCCCATTGTGTTTGGGGCAAGGTGCAGGCATGGATAGAGGATTGGCTGCCTGGCAGAAAGCAAAGAATGGGGATAAAGGGGTCTTTTTTGGGATGGCAGCCAGTGACTAGTGGAGTTCAACAACTTACGTTATACATTAATAATCTGGACAAAGGAACTAAGGGCATTGTTGCTAAGTTTGCAGATGACACAAAGATATTTGGAGGGACAAGTAGTGTTGAGGAAGCAAGGAGGCTGCAGAAGAACTTGGACAGGCTTGGAAAGTGGCCAAAGAAGTGACAGACTGAGTACAGTGTGGGAGTGTGTGAGGTCATGCATTTGCGTAGGAAGAATAGAGGCATAGACTAGTTTCTAAACAGGGAAAAGGCTTTGGAAATCTGAAGCACAAAGAGACTTAGGAGTCATAGTTCAGCATTCTCTTAAAATAAACATGCAGCTTCAGTTGGCAGTTGGGAAGGCAAGTGTAATGCTAGCACTCATTTCGAGAGGTGAAGAATACAAGAGCAGGGACGTACTGTTGAGGGTGTGGTCAGACTGCATTTTGAATATTGTGAGCAGTTTTGGGCTCTGTATCTAAAGAAGGATGTGTTGGCTTTGGAAGGGGTCCAGAGGAGGTTTACAAGAATGATCCCAGGATAAAGGTCTTCTGAAATGCATGGGTAGGGGTTTATAAACCCCCTTATGGTAGCTGTACTGTAGGACAAAGAATAAATCAAATGATAACAAGTGCATGGAAAAAGGCAATGTATTAATTATTTCATCTTCATGTAGTTTGGGAAAATCAAACTGAGAGGTAGCCAGAAGGAAGAATGCATAGAGTGTAGTTGGGATAGTTTTCTGGAACAATATTTCCTAGGAAACAGCGACTATACCATGGTAAAATTTAGCCTTCAGTTTGAGAGTGAAAAACTTGGGTTGGAAACATCTGTGTTAAGTAAGAGTAATTACTATGGAATGAGGGCAGAGTTGGCTGGAGAGGACTGGAAAAAGAATTTAGCAGAAATGCTAGCTGAAGAACAGTGGCAGGCATTTAAGACAATAGTTCAGGGCTCTCTACAAAGATACATCCCAGAGAGGAAAGATTCTATGATGGCAACCTTGTTACTAGCAGAGTGCCATAGGAATCAGTGCTGGGGCCACAATTATTTACAATGGGTGTTAATGACTTGGATAATGTAAGTGAATGCATTATTGCTAAGTTGGCTGATGACACAGAAATAGTTGGGAAGGCAACTAGTGAGGGTTATGCATAGAGTCTGTAGAAGGATATAGAAAAGTTAAGAGAGTTGGTAAAAACATGGTACAAAGAATATAATGTTGGAAAAGGTGATGTTATGCACTTTGGCACAAAGAATAAAGGAGCTGAATATGATTTAAATGAGAAAGATTGCTAAAATCTGCAGTACAGAGACATTTGAGAATCGCATAAAGCTCAACGGGTAACGGGGAAGGCAGTTGGAATGTTGGCCTTTATTTCAAAGGGAATGGAATGTAGAAATGAGATGGTCTTGCTGGTCTTGCAAGGCAGTAGTCAGAGCACAGCTGGAATACTGTGAACGGTTTTGGTCCCCTTTTGCAAGGAAAGATAGTCTGGCATTGGATACAGTCTCAAGAAGACTTGTTAGATTGATCCCAGGTATGGAGGGAAATTTTTTATGAGGAGAGGTTGCATAGATTGGGCCTGTAATCATTGGAGTTTAGGAGAATGAGAGGCGACCTCATTGAAACATGTATGAAACTTGGCAGGGTGGGTGCTAAGGCATTGTGTCCCTTTCTGGGAGAGTCTAGGAACATAAGCATAATATCAAAGTAAGGGGTCACCCATTTAAGATGGGAGAACTTTTGTTTCTAAGTGGGTAGTGAGCCTGTGGTGTTATTTAATGAAGAGAGCTAGTGAGGCTGTGTCATTAAGCATGTTGAAGGCTGAGATCAATAGATTTTTAAACAGTAAGAGAGTCAAGGTTATAGGGAAAGGGCAAGAAAATAGAGTTAGGGAATATCAGTCAGCATGATCTCATTGAACGGTGCAGCAGACTTAATGGGCTGAATAGCCTACTATGTGGTTCTACATCTTATGGTCAATGTCAGTTAAGGATGGGCAATAAATGATGGCTTTGCCAGCAATGCCTACATTCCATGAAAGAATTAAAATAAAAATAGTGAACTTGATACATTGGGGTTAGCAAATGGAGGATGAGGAATGAGGTGGTGTGTGGATTAGGATATGATAAACAGAATTGATCTGGCCAACTTTGGCGCAAAGAAACATTGACCAAGCACTGTACGTACATCTCTTTATAGAAGTAGCTTGTGGCGCAATATAAGAATACTGATGTGATCTGACTAATTCACATACAAGTATAATGAGATTGAGACACATGTACAGCAGATGAAGTGTTGTTTAACGTTCTCGGGTAGTCTGGTCACCTGCTGTGACTGCCCGGCTGTATAGGGAATGCCTTCTCTTGCCCAGATCCTGTCTCTTGTGCATCCAGGGGCAGAGTGTCGAGGGTAATACCTCGTCGCTCACCAAATACCTGCTCCTGCAGTTCGACTATATCATGCCTGATGTCAGCCATCATCAGTAAGAGGAAGTCAAATGATCCAGGAGGTCCCTGAAGATAAAACAAAATCCAATGCGGTCATGACATTGTTCATGATTGTTCATTCTTCCAATCCATGGCAAACCCCTCCATACAACTTTGTTCAAGGCAGTATTTTATATAACATTCTTCATACTGTATCTTAAAAATGGCTTATCATCAATTGTAAAGGAGAGTAGATCTGTCAGCTGTATATTGATTTACTTGTATCGGTGAGATGCCAGGATTAGGGTTGACATTAGAATCTTGGTCAAACCAAGATCAAGGTACATCGAACTCAGAACCTGAAAGCTAGCCGTTCTATTTTAGATTCAAAGACCAATTTTGAATTGACGGAAACATTGCCCAGGTCACGTGTTGGCTATGAAGGCACTCCTTTGTCATAAGGAAGTGAATTTAGTGGAAGACCTCTTAAATGCATTCACATAATACAGGCAGATGCACTCCACATCTATTGACTCCTCAAATATCTACCATTTGGAGTGGCACAGTGGCTCAGTGGTTAGCGCTGCTGTCTCTCAGCACCAGGGACCCAGGTCTGGTTCCAGCTTCAGGCAACTGTCTGTGTAAAGTTTGCGTGGGTTTCCTCTGTTTCCCCCCACAGTAGGTGGATTGGCCATGTTAAATTTCCCATAGTGTCCAGGGGCACACAGGCTAGCTGGGTTAGCCAGGGGAAATGCAGGGATAGAGGGTAGAGGGTGGAATGCTGTTCGGAGAGGTGGTGTGGTATTGATGGGCCAAATGGCTTTCTTTCATACTTTAGGGGGTATTCTATCCTTAATTAATAATCAAGGAAGTAAAGCTCTCACATAGTATCAGTACAAATGTAAAGAGGTAAAATGTTCAGAAATACTTACATTTTATAGGTATTTTAATCAACCTGTTTGGTCATTTTATGACACAACTTTGCAAGAGGTGGTACTTGATCCCAGGCTTTCTGGTCGAGAGATAGGGAAACTACCGCTGCACCACAAGAGCCCCTGGATAACAGTACTTCCAAAAAGACAGCACAGGCTTGATGGGCCAAATGGTCTCCTTCTCAGTTTTTTTTAATAAAACCAACCCATTTACACATCTTATAGCCCAACTCTGGAGCAGGTGGGACTTGAACATGGGCCTCTTAGCTCTGAAAAGACACTACTACTGTGTCACAACAGCCCAACCTAACTCCCATTATACTTAACATTAGGTCTTTCAACACCTTGGGGCCTTCCAAAGGGCTTTGCAACCAATGAAGTGCTTTGAAGTGTAGCCATTGTTGTGATTTAGGAAATGCACACTTGCATGCATTGTGTAAATCTAACTATTGAGATCCAATGATGGTCTCTGTTGCTCATCCTTTTAGAACATAGAACATAGAACATAGAACATAGAACATAGAACATAGAA